AATATATAACATGTTATTTTAGGTATAATGATATATTCCAGTATCACAGTCTCCCTTTCCTTGTGTGGAGACACAGTTGCCCAACACCTGAAGGGTATAGGAAGAGAAGTGGGTTAAGTATGTTGGTTTATTTTTAATTTATTATGTGTTTTCTTATGAAGAAAGATTTGCAGTGGAAAATAGCCTTGTGCTTCCTAGTTCAGTTAATAGCTCTGCTCTGGTCTTTCCCTTCACAATGAAAGTTTCATAAATCCTCACATTGCAATAGAAGTTTTCCAGTCGTGGATGATGACAGTTGGCAAAGTGTTCACGTTTCCCTAGGAAATTGTGTTAAATTAGGCTCTGTGAAGGAGAGAAGAGCTGTGCTTATGTTCTTAATACTGTATCTTCATCTTCGTGGTTGTTAACATCTTATTTGCTCAGTGATTTCAAGGAGTTTATATTCTGAACTCTTAAAATGGGTGAAAACCAGAGGTGAGATGGAGTAAGAGGGGATGCTTCTGATGAATGGGGACTGAGGGTGCACTGGTGTAGATTGCATGTCTGCTTGAGTAACAACAAGGAGTAAGCTCACTAACCATCCTGGTCTTTATCCTGGTCTGTTTACTCTGATGTTTTATTCTCCATAGTCTACCATAGCAGTTATGTATCAGTGAACACTAGGAAATAAATATATAAAGCCTTTTTTTGTAGTTTCCACTAAATGTGAACTTGTACTGTTGAGCTGCTTTACATCTTACAAAGAATTTGGACTCATGTAGCCAGACTTTGCACATTGACCAGGGAGTTGAATCATCTGTGCACCTCCTGAGTGCAACATTCCCATCCAGCTGGGCGGATGGGATGGCATCAGGGTTTTGTCCCTCCTGTCCAGTGGGAACGTGGCTGTTCTTCATCCTTCCCTGACCCCTTTGCATTCTGACTTTCTGATTACTTCAGATTTACTGCTGTTGTTGCTTCAGTTTGAGAATCATTTCATTAACTTAGTGAAGGAGGATCAAAGAAGATTTAGGATTTATTAATGTATATTTCTTGGGTCTGCTGTTTTTTAGCCTCCCCTGGTTTTGCTGTGGTTAGAACCACAGCAGTATTGGCTACTCAGAATTTCCTTTGGGACCATCAAGCTTTCCCTGGAGCCAAGGTGTAAGCTCTATGTTACCCATGCAAACTCTGGACAGCCCTTCCAGTTTGCAGAGGACAGGCAACTCTGAACTTACGTTGTTAGGCAGGAGATAACCAGGAAGCTGGTTAAAAAACATAGAGTTTCAGTCTTGTGAGAAATTTCCTCATCTTTATATTTGCATTTGTTCTGCATCAGAATAAACCCAAATATTTTCAATATTTCAATCAGAGTGACATTCTTAAATATATTTTTCAGTATTTTATTTGTTTTCTGTCTAGGTTTTTAAGTGTTTAAATTGATATTGTTGTTTCCTTTTCTCAGAATGCAGAAGTATTACATGACTTGGCTTGTCTTTAAAATAGCTTATTTCAAAATAATTCAGGACAGCTGCTTTCGAGTGATTGAGTCATCCCATTTTCTGGATTAGAATCTCTTGTTTGTTTTGTAATGAAATGGTTCAACACTTGGAACAAGAAATTCAGATAAATACTCAGCATACCAACTAGAAGAGCAGGTGGTTTGTTCAGCGTCCTTCTTATTCCAGGAAAGAGATGTATTTCTTCTCCAGACGTGTTTCTGTGCCTTTATAAGCTACTCCAGAGTTGGAAATTTCCATAGTTTCTTGCTGAAAATTTTTCAGTGTCTGATTCCCTGAAATTCTTCTTGCTTCAGAAATTCTAGTTTAAATCAAGTGAGAAGAGTGGCAACTTCTCAGTGTCTTCATTTCACCCCATTATAATTTGGCACATGAAATCCAACATAGAAGTCATACATTACAGCATCTTTTCTTCCAGTAAGAGAAATCTTCTGCCACAGAGGCACAATCACAAATGCATTTGGTATGGCACTTTCCAGGTGTTGCAGTAAGGATGTGATTCTGAGCAACATGATCTACTTGAGGATGTCCCTGCTCATTGCAGGGGGTTGGACTAGATGAGCTTTGAAGGTACCTTCTAACCCTAACTGTTCTGTGATTTTATGAGATACCAACAACTTCAGTAACTGGAGATGACCCTGGGTATGAGGAATGCAGAGCTGGATGGGCAGCCTGTGGCCTGAGCAGTGTGCCAGGTCAGGAGGGAGCACGCAGCCAGCGCTGCACAGGACTCCTCTGACAAGGAGAGATGTCAATGTAGTTGGAATTGCCTTGAACACTGCCAGGGATGGGGCAGCTACAGCTTCTCTGGGCACCCTGTGCCAGCGCCTCAGCACCCTCACAGGGAAGAGCTTTTGCCTCAGAGCTCATCTCAGTCTCCCCTCTGGCAGGTTCAAGCCTTTGCCTTATCCTGTCCCTACAAGCCCTTGCCCAAAGTCCCTCTCTAGGCTTCTTGTAGCCCCTTTAGACACTGGAGCTGCTCTAAGGTCTCCCCTTAAGGAGCATTCTCTTCTGCAGGTGGAATTTTCCACTATTGGTCTCCTGTTCTCTGTGTGACATTCAGGTCCTGTTGGTGTGCTCAAGGTAACTGGTGTGTTTTGTGGACAAGGATTGCTTTTTCTGAATGTCTGCCCATCCCCTGGTTTAGCAGGGTTTGTATCATGGAGCCTGCTGCAGAAATAAGCATCTCGCAATTTGGTAATGCCATGGATCTCCCTTTACTGTACTTTACATATCCTCAAAAAGAGTCTGGAGCAATGTCAAGGTCTGATTTCAGTGAGCAGTCATCCTGAAAACTGCCACACTAGAATCTCAAATGGTAAACTTTCTCCCTCTTAAGTACAGTCTTCTCTTTCCCCACTTATTGTGCCTTGACCCAGGTTGTTTTAAGGTCCTTTCTACTCATATGCTCTTCTATAGTCAACAGGAAAAAGAAAAGCTGTTGTAGTGGTTTGGGTTTTTTAATTAGTGCCTTTCCCCCCCCCCCCCCCCCCCCCCCCCATCAGAGGGGAAGGAGCATTGAGGAAGCCCGACAGCTTTTCTAGCTCTATTTACCTTAAAGGAATAGGGTTTTTAATGAAGAAAAACAGCTGTTTTTGTAGTGATTTTAGAACTGGTGAAAGTAGCTGAGTGCTTTTATTTATACGGAGATCAAGGAGAAGTGCATTTTCCACTTATGTTTATAGCCTTCTTGAAAATAAATACCCCTGATTTCACAAAGGCACTCCCTGGGCATCCTGTGAATGTGGTTTAAGCATTAAGCAGTAGGAAGTTCCCTTTCATTTTCCTCAAACCCCTGTTTTGCTGGTTCACCTATGGTATGTGTGGAATTTCTATTTCTCCAGCATTTGCTTTGCAAACAGAACAGAGATTGCATCAGTTCACTCTTTACAGCATAAATACATTTTTCTGTCTGGATTTGGCTATGGCATTGACTGAGTGATGGCCCAAGTTAAGGTCTTTGATGCTCAGATTCCCTTGCCTTGCAGTGCCTTGAGGTAATAAGAACTGTCAGAATACTGTCCCAGGCCATGTGCATTGCATGGTCCTCACCTTACCTAAGGAAAAGGAGCCAGGATAAACATTTCTCCTCTCTGCATGACTTAAGTTTATTGACCACTGTGCTGAGATTCTCTCTCTTTCTCAGGTTTCTGACAAGTAATAAGAATTTAAAACCAGGTTGTAATTCCTGCTTTTGTAATGTCTTGCTGGTCTGTGGCTCTGGTGTAATTGATGGCCCTTCCCTGTTGTGCTGCCTTGTCTTGGGTGTCGGCACCAATTGTTCTCTGTCCAAATCACGGGGTTCACCCTCACACCTCCTCTGGTGCCAGTAACATCAGCCTGTGTTCTTCTTTGTCCAAATCATGGAGTTCACCCTCACACCTCCTCTGGTGCCAGTAGCATCAGTCTGTGTCTCTGTTTATACAGTTATTATTAAAGTCTCCCTTTTTAAGCACTGTATATTTATTTTTGCTCAAAATGCACCATTTTCCTCCTGCATAAAGTGACTTAAAATTTTTCAAAGGCTGTTTCAGCAAAGCTGGGAATAACATTCTGTGGAGTCCTTCATAAAAAATTGAAGACTTGGTGTATTAACATACATTGATTTATTCATAGTGTTTCATTACAAATAAGTGAGGATCCCATAATATCAGGAGAGGTTAGGAGAGCACAGGAGCACGTTACATTATATTGACAGCTCAGTGGAAATTAAGCTGCCTTTGGATTGAATTTGGAACGCAGGCAAGGAATTGGCTGCTAAATAAGTCATGAGTTTTACTTGCAGGTGTCTGTATGTCACCAGGGGGGCTGTGGGGAAGCATAATGGAGCTCGAGCAGTATTCCAGAGGTGAGCTTTCAGCCTGTATTGCTCTAAAGGTGTGTTAGCTCCAGCCGTGTGTGTTTTCGTGAGCAGCTCTCCAGGCCTGCAACCTGCTGACTTGTTCTCTCAGGCAAAAACCAGGCACGGTGCCACGTGTAAACCTGCAACCTGAGGCTCAGCACAGGGAGGGAGATGCTATCAGAAGCTGACTTGCAAATCAGAGAAGAAGAGAAGGGCTTTGGTCCAAAAACTTGATGATATTTATTTCATTTAAACATAGCGTTTAATTTCAGTGTATTCTCTCTTGCAAAGGAACAGGCTTCCCCAGACTTTGTTGTCATTCCCATTGCTCTCAGCAGTCTCAGGAGAAGACCATTTATGAGAGGAAATTAAAAAACTTGATGGAAAATGTATCCATGTTTCATCAATGTTTTCACTTGCTGGGGTGGGGGTGTATGGGGAATTCTCATGGAAGTTCTGCCCGTTGTGCTCTGTGCTCTGGGTTGACTGCAGAAGTTCTGAGCTTTGGAACCAAAAGCAGTTCTGTGCATTTTTGTTGCACATCAGCTCATGCTGAGGTTTTAGTGGAGAGAAGAAATTAGTTTTTCTCTAAGTAAAGCCTTGGAAAAATCATAATGTTTGTTTGGCAGCATCCAAATACAGAACCACTCACTGGAGCAATGGAAGTTACATCTATCCTTGTATTTTCAGTGTCTGGTCTCCAGAGATGGCAAAATAGGGGAGCAAAGAAAGACCAGCTGCAGCAAGCTCCTTATCTCCTGACCTTCCTTGTTCTTCATTTGCAGATCACATACAAGGCCGTTGGGTCTCTGGATCCCAGTGCTGACCTGTCCAGCCAAAGAGGGAAAGTCTTCAAGCTAAGGAATGAAACACATCACCTCTTTGTGGGATTATACCCAGGGACTACATATTCATTCACCATCAAAGCCAGCACAGTCAAGGGCTTTGGGCCACCCATCACAACACGGATTGCAACTAAGATTTCAGGTACTGCTTTGGAGAAGAAATAAAAAGAACTTTCTAGGGCTTTGTTCTTTAGTCCTGCAGCCCAATAACAAGATCTTCAGCCTAGTGCCTCTACTAGTTTCATAGGGCAGATCTTTAAACCAGCCACAATCCAGCCTCTGTGTTTGTTTGTGTTGCAAATGCAGTGGTTAATTTGAGGATATCTTCAATATCTACAAATATCTTTATGGAGCATTTTAAATGAGAACCTTCATTAGTTCTACAAATGAATGTTCCCTATAATAATTGTTGGTATTATCTGTGTGGCTGAGGAAGCTCCTTCAATAATGTGGCTTTTCTTTTCAGAATGCACTGGAATGGATGCAATGAAGTAATTGAATTAATAGTGCAAGGAGCCTAAAAATAAAAGAGGAAAACTGGGTTTATGTTTCCTTTCTGAGCAAGGGCAGAGGAGAGCCTTGAGGTAGGCAGGCAAGTGTATGAGAGGGATTAAAATCAGGAGGCATTGCAAAAAGAAGGCACATGTGTATCTAGGAAAAATAAAGGAAACTTAGGCTGACTGTCAAAAAAAAAAAAAAAAGATGGATAAAGGCTAGAAATCATATTGGCCAGACATATGTAAACTTGAATTTTAGCATTTAATTGCTAACACTAAGACAGGTTCTCTAACAGAGTTTTAAACAGTCCTTTTTCCTTAATACCGTAACTGTTATTTCAGTAAAGCCAAAAAAGAATGTTTGGGACATGAACGTTCAGGACAATTGTAATGCTTGAAATTATGGCTGAGTGCCATAGAAAAGAGTGCACAACAGTCTGTATTTCCCATTGCCCTATCTCTAAACCGATTAATAAAAATCAGTTGTTAGCAGTAAGTGACAGTGTAAATGGTAAGGCAGTAAAATGAATCCATTCCATGCACTGGCCATCAGCAGGATCTGAACACTGAACATTCAGTGCAAAAGCCCATGGTCAGTCCTATATGTTAAACTTGCTCCAAGAGGCAGTCCAAGGCTAGTAGGGAGAAGGAGTGAGTTTTGCATTGACTGGGATGTCCTTGGAAGACTGCATATATTCTAAAATGAAAAGACATCTGTGCTGTAGCAATGTGTGAGTGTATGTGTTTATGTGGGTGGACACGTTTGTTTATGTCCTAATCCCAGTTAAATGGCAGAACTCATGAGGATTTCTCCTTTGGCAGGACTGCGATCCTGCAGAACAGGCATTAAACTGATGAGCAGTGCTTGATAATTTAGAGAGATCGCTGCCAACTGGTTCTATAGAGGTACTACACAACTGCTCCGTGTTGAGTACACAAGAAAACTGCTCTTACTTCAGTGTCTTGTGACTAATACAGACTCTGATCGCTCAATTATAGACTCACGGACTGGTTTGGGTTGGAAGGGACCTTAAAGCTCATCCAGTCCCAAGCCCCTGCCACGGGCAGGGACACCTTCCACTAGAGCAGGTTGCTCCAAGCCCCTCTGTCCAACCTGGCCTTGAACACTGCCAGGGATGGGGCAGCCACAGCTTCTCCGGGCACCCTGTGCCAGCGCCTCAGCACCCTCACAGGGAAGAGCTTCTGCCCAAGAGCTCATCTCAATCTCCCCTCTGGCAGGTTCAAGCCATTCCCCTTGTCCTGTCCCTCCAGGCCCTTGTCCAAAGCCCCTCTCCAGGTTTCCTGGAGCCCCTTTAGGCACTGGAGCTGCTCTAAGGTGTCCCCTTGAGGAGCCTTCTCTTCTCCAGCTGCCCCAGCCCAGCTCTCTCAGCCTGGCTCCAGAGCAAAGCTGCTCCAGCTCTCTTATGCTCGATGTTGCACAATTATGGCCAATACCTTTAGGTAGTCAAGGCTGCCAAGACCTATGTTTGTGCATTTACTTTTTAATTGTATGTGTCTGAAAGTAAGACTGTAAATGCTCTGCAGCAGGTGGACTCTTTTATGCAGAGTATAACTAAAGAGGTCAGAAGGAACCACCCAAGCTAGCTGACATATCAGAAACAATTGAGTGGTCCAGTGCAGTGCTGCAGTTAGACTAGAAGAAGCTGCTTCAGAGGAGGATGATGGAGCCTGCAAAGGTAAAGCCCAGCCTGTTTCTGGTGCCCAAACTGGCTTTGCAACCTGTCTGTAGTATTGCATCGGTTGTAGCACCATCCGCTCTGGCCAGAGCAGGTGCTGAGCAGTTCTTATGGTGGCATCTCCAGCAGCTACAGTGATCTCTGGTAAAGAAGACCATTGGTAACATGCATCTTCTTTAAGTGATGCACACCGCTTCCCCTTTGTGCCAAGTACCTTGTTCAGAGAAATCCTCATTAAGGAACTGGCGTTCATGCTGAACTCATTGCCAGCTTATTGACAGGGAAGTCAGTGGCTGAGCTGATAATAGCAACCACCATTCTTGACAGTTTTGAGGCATTTAGATAAAAATCCTGATTATAAACAGGATTACAGTGGAAAGCTCTGTGAGAGGATTAAAGATGGGCTCCCCGCAATGCAGCTTGCCCTTGTGAGTTACAGATGAACTAGCTGTGTGAATTCCTCTGTTTGCTCGGTACTTCAAAGCTATTTCAACAAAACTTGCATCTTTGGAATAAATTTGGTGCTGCTCTGATCTCGTGATTTCTTCAGTTCTTCCACAGTCAAAATTGCCCCAAACAGATGTCTGCTGTGAGGGAAAGAAGAAGGGATATAATAATGTTTCCAAAGGGAAGCTATCCTACTTTCGTGAAATGATCCTAATAGAAGATAACAAAGCAGAAGTAGAAACTAGACTTTGGCTAAGTGTGAATATTCAGTGGGTTGCTCTGTTGCTTTGGGGAACACTGAGCATGCCGTTGGAATTCTGCCTGGTGATTCAACATCACTAAAGTGCTGGGGTAAAATGTCATGGGTTGGAGTGCTAAAATAACCCGGCTAATTCGGGCTTCTCTCTTTTAATCTTTTGTGCTTCATAACAGACTCTCCAGCTAATGAAGGAGACACAGTTTAACTCCCTGTGTTAAAAACTCTGAGTTGGGGGGGGGCTAATCCAATGACCTGAATAGTGAGCAAGGGCCAGGTTTCCTGAGTGCTGTTCTTAGCTCTGCCATTGATTCCCTCATCCTAAGTGGTCTTTAATAATGTCCAGGCAGTTTATTTCTTCCCCTTTAAAATCAAAGGAATGATCCCATCTCAAAGTATTATTAAATCTTAAAAATTCCAGACAGGATTTTCAAAGCCATCTGGAAGATTCATGTGTGTGATTCCTGTTTAATTTTAATAGGAAGAGTGTACAAATATTTAAACAATTTTGACAATTTTGGGCATAACGTTGGGAAGCATTTTGATGTTTCATTTGAGAAATGTTAAACACTCTCCTAGAACTGTTACTATCACGTTGCCATCACTACCCAAGGCAGTAGCTGGGGTATAGCTAATATGTTGCTCTTCTGCTGCAGCACCATCGATGCCAGAATACGACACAGACTCGCCCCTGAATGAGACTGACACGACCATCACCGTCATGCTGAAGCCTGCTCAGTCCCGGGGAGCTCCTGTCAGGTAGGTCTTTCCCCTTCACCTTTCACAGTTCTCCCCTCTCCTTCCTCCCCAGGCTTCGCTCACGCCTCTCTCATTCTCGCCTGATAATGTAGCTGCAAAAAGCGAATGCTGGCTCAAAGGCCAACTCCGCTGTTGATTCTGCTTTTCACAGGCTCCTTTTATCAATGCCTCAGCCTGCTTGCCTCCTGCTGTTAACCTCCAGGAAGGATGCTGATAGCCTTGCACGGGGTTATTACCCTTTCAGCATCACTTCAGATGCCTTTGCAGCACTGGAGTACATTGGTATGTGCAGCTCTGTGCTGTGCTGCTGGGAATTCAGCATCACCATGAAAAGGTGGAGGAGGCTTCAGGCCTATCATAGGAATGCCAGCAGTATCTTTAATGCTTGTGGATGCTTTTGTCCAGATTCTGGGTCTGACCACACTCCTCATGTTATAATCCAGCTGTTGTTGCGGGTTTGGTTGTGGAAGGAATTAGTAATCTCGTCCACAAAAGATGAACTCGGGTATAGTGAGGCTTTGCTGCTTGTAGGCAAGCAGCTTCCACTGGCAGAGGAGAGGATTTAGGGGTAAGAAGCTGCACAGGCACCTGTGGAATAGAGTGAGGACCTTCCAGAAAACATTTCTGGCTGTCTCTGAGCTGGGTCCTGTTCTTCCTGATGAGATGCTGCAGTGAGGCACTCAACCTCAGATCACCGACTGCAGGAACACAACTCACAGAAGTGTCTTTCATTGCTCTTCCATCTAGGCGATTTTGTACATAGTGGAAAGCATCAGCACAGATGAACCCTCTGAGCTGGCACTGCCTTATCTGTCAGCGGCAGAAGTGCCAGTTGGTCATTCATCCTGTCAATCTTCTCACTGAGAGCAGGAATTTGAATCACTTACGATAAAAGTGACTGCTTTCCAGCGGGATCCAGCAACCATCGCCTCCCTGGAGGCTCTTCAGGCTTTTACCTCCAGTTTTCACAGGAGACTTGAATTTTTTCCTATGGGTGGTATCTTAAGCCCACAGTCCTTTCTTCCCAAGTGACTTAGGTTCCTACACCCCACTGAGAGGTTCTTTGTTCTTTTGAAAGTTGTCTCACGAAGTATTCAGGAGCAAATTGCTCAGACGTGAACTACCTGGTCTAATGAAACTATGAGCTGGTGGCCCACTGTCACAGCTCTCCATCAAACTGCATTGATAGTTTCAAGCAAAAACTCTGCTCTTTCACACTTAGCACCATTCCTTTTGACTGGTTCTGAATAATATATTTTAAACTTTCCATTGCAATCTCTGGTACTCCATATAAGCGAATTTAGGAGCCTATTTTCCAAGTCCTTTAGAGATGTTTTTCTGCTGGAAAAGAGCAGTAAAATCACACGAGCTCTGTTTTATTTCTTTATATGGGGGAACATTCCTATATCTCGTTTTACCACCTGCTGTGTTAAAAGTGTTGCTATTTTGTCTTTTTATTGGAAAGTCTTGTGATTTTTCTCCAAGTCAATTTACCACCCTTTAGCTGCATTCAGTGAGTAATGTCTTTCCCAGAAAATGCATCTGTTATAAAATATTTGGTAGAGATTTTTAGAAATGTTCACTCTTATTTCTTTAATTGCATTGTAGCGTGTTCTACACAGGTTTGCAGAGAGTGTTTACATGCCATATCAAAGCGATAAGATTATTTCCTATTATAAGCCCATTTAATTGACTTATAGACATGTATATGAAAACCAGAATAGACAAAGGGGGGGCAAAGAGGAGAAGGTCTTAGGGCGAATATTAGCTTTTTATTATTAACTGTGACAGCCTCAGAATGTGTGAATACCTTTCCCTGTATAACTACACAGACTGCTTTAAGTCTGGCCTCAACAAATCTGGTTACTTCAACCTTAGATTCTCTTGACCTCTTCCCCATTCTCTCCGCCTGTTCTGAGCACACTCCAATTTGTGTGGATTCTCTCCAAATACCACAGCCAAAAGCTGGTAACATTCCCTCAGTGGCCTCAGCAGCACCCAGCAGATTAGGATAGCATACTGTGAAGTGCTTGTGACACTTGTAACACACAAGAACGAGGTGTTTTATCCTCCTGTGTTTTTTGTATTCAAGCTGAGATCCAATATATCCTCTTTGTCGTTGTCAGGTTAGTTGTGCTACCTTTTGCTTGTGTATGATTTATTTCCTCTTCATAAGTGTAGAATTTTCCATTCATCTCTATTAGGTATGATAAAATTGATTTTCAGAATGCTTTAAAATCCTGATGCAAACTTCAGTGACTTGGAGCCCCTCTTACAGGCTGCCCAGGGCAGTGGTGGAGTCATCATCCCTGGAAACGTTCACAAACCATATAGGTGAGGCCCTCAGTGACATGGGTTAGTGGTGGCCATGGCACTGCTGCACTTGGTGATCTTAAAGGTCTTTTCCAGCCTGGTTGGTTCTGTGATTCTTAGTTGAATGCCAACCTCTGCTCAGTTACCAAAGGCATTAGTGCAGACACAGACTGAAGACAAAAGACTGGGAAGCGTCCTGGCAGAGAAGTGAGGGGGTGCTGAGGTCATTGGAGGGGCTCCTGTATGATGCAGCATCCTGGTAGGATGCCCCTTCCTGTGGCCTCCCTTGTAGACATGACCACGCTTTCCTAGATCCCTTTCCTGAGAGGGATCTGCAAAGCTACTTGACATCAGTCTGAAATGGATTTTCCTCACACCTTCTTATAAAACCTTCAATATTGAGATCTTCCGCTCTGCAGAAATAGGTCAACCCTTCATCTCATCAACTGACAATTTCTGCTCTGCAGTGCTCCAGGTTTTTATTATAATCCTTCCAAACTGTGAAGATGAAAATAATAACACTCTACAGTAATTATTCTTCATATTTTATCTGACATGCAGGGGATGGTGACTTGGAGTACGTGTGGGGTGTGACTATAAGCCAGTGTCCATACAGAAGATAGTTCTGTGACTTTGTCTGGTGGTGTTTCGCTGTGCTGTGGTCTGAGCAGCATACAGATGGAGCAGGGGCTGCAAGATCATTTGTAGAGTAATAGTGGAGAATATTTAAAACAAGATTCATTGTCCTCCCATTCATCTGAAATGCAGGCACACCAAATGCAAAGTCACTTTCAACATTAAGACATTTCTGATGTTCCCCAGAGCTCATGATAAATAACTTAAATGAGGTTCTTTAGAAAACTAATCATCATGATCTCAGCATTGTTAATGATCTATAGATAACAGTGAAGATGCTTTCATATAAACTAATAGGAATAATATACACTTAGATATTCTTTGAACTATTTTGTCCTATTGCCAAAAGAATGATGCCTCAGCAAGCATAAATATTCTCCCTTGTGGCACAGGCATTCCATTCCTGCCTTTATTTTCCATAGTATTACCTGCAGAGCTTGACTCCACATTGCCCTTTAAAAAATAACTTTTAGGTGTTCTTGTATCAATCTAAAACTTGTGAATGGTGCTGTGATTGATTTGCTGAAGACTGACATTCATCTATAATAGATTCAGAAGAGGAAAGAAGAATGTAAGTGTTCTCAATCTTTACTCCTCAACTCTTTTCTCAAAATCTCCAATGTGATTTTGAGGATAATTCTGCCTTTTGACTCCGTTATTGTCATGAGGGCTGAGTCAGTCCTTCATAGATTATTCGCATATGACATCTTTAGACCTCTATTTGAGAATTTATATCCCATTCACAGCTTGAAAATACCGCTGTGAGGGATTTTATCTACATGGCATGTCCACTGGGCTGGTTTTTGTATGTTGGATATTTGAAAGTCCAGCTGGTTTGTTAACATGCAGTTGGTTCTTCAATCTACCTATACTACTATTATGGAGAAAATCAAATTCCCAGAGCACATATTAGTTTTGAGGATTTCAGAGTTTAAATAAATGCTCCCCTTAGGGGTGATTTTTGAGCCTTGTCAATTTTTGAGCAGGAGGACACTGTAGGAGGACATTAGAGAAGAGTCTGCAATTCTTTTGTGGGGGGTTCAGACAATGGAGAACTTGTATGTTGGAAAAGGATGGATTTCATCTCCCTTATCTTCCTGCAGCTCTCTGAGGTGTAACAGTAAATAATCTGTGCTGTTCTTTGTGTGTCTGCCAGCACACAGGTACAGCCTTTAGACACCTGAGCCCTGTACTGTGACAAAGAACAGTATTATCAGGACAAAGATATTCAATCCCTCCACTTGCCTTTATGTATATTTATTTGGGGATATATATAATATATATGTATATGTAAAATATATATATATGCAATGTAGGTTGAGCATGTGATTCTGGAGAAATATATTCAGGTAACAGTCATGTATGCTGTATATGTGCGATGGTCAGATACCTGTATTCACTTTGGTGAGGAAGGATGGGAAGGTTTATTAATGTACATCTTAAAGGGAATGAATAAATCTGAATAGGAGAATGGGAGTTTAAATATTTTAGATACATTTAGATGTGCTGAGCAAAGGTGAAACAGGTATTTTCATATCCATAGCCAGCCAGGAGGAGAAATTAGTTTATATGGACCAAGCTCCATGTTACTTTTGGGTATTATCATCTGATTCTTGGGCTCCCAAGTATGAAATAAAGGAAATATTTGTGGTTTATTTGATGCTAAAGGGATTAAGAGGAAACAGCTGTAGTATTTTTTAACAGAGACCTAAGAACAGTGTGGTTTTTTCTGGTTTTATATTCAAGCTGTTCTCCAAGCAAACAATCCTATATGATGTATCTGTATATTTCTGCAGTCCTACATGTTGTAAGAAATGAGAATTTCCTGTGACAAAGGCGAGTGGTATCACTTCCACATTATGTTGGAGTACTGAGACTTCAACTAGATAAAACTTGTCTTCCATTTCAGTCTGCAGCAAAGTAGAAACTGAGAATCTCTGGAGCCATAGGCAACAACTGTGACTTCACATAATGCTTGTTATCTCCAGAAAGAGTTATCTCTAGGTAATTCTTTCTTTTTCTGTGATTTTAGACATCATCTGTTCATACCG